TAGTTTCAAAGATCAGCATGATGCAGCATTTAAACTTTCATTTTCTGGCATGCATGAGAGTTCAGTATTAAAAAATCGTTCTTTACCATCATTTTAATTTTTCAGCTTCCAATTTTTAAGTTGACAAATATTATTAAGATGTAATAACTTGCCTTTTCTCTGCATTTTCAAGTTTAATATAAAGTTATGTTAAGAATGAAATAAAACGCTCAACTGTGGTTGTAAGTTTCTTCATGACAACACGTTTCATACGGAACGTGCCGGTTTTGCTATTGCAGCGATTCCATTACTCATCTATCGGATGGCAGCGGATCGAAATATTAAATGCTGCCTACTACATACATACATTACACTACAATATGAAGCAAGAATAAACGACCATAACAAGTATGATTTTAGTCTTAAAACGTTACTATATGAATCTCCCATTCAGACGTAAGTTCTAGCATAGACGTCGTCGCAAGTTACATTTATTATATATAAACATTATGGCTATCATTGTACTGATAATTACTTTATTACTGTATCACGAAAAAAAAACAACAAGGAATGGAACAGAAACATAAGTGATCTAGGCACGATAATCAAATAGTACTATCATCGATAACCATCAGACAATAAATTTAAAAAAAGAAAATTCGGCCATGAATAAGAATAAAAGGAATGTGTTTAAATCAATCTCAATATTAATGTGTTCACGAGTTTGAAGCACTGATTAAATAAATTATTAAAGAAAAAAAGAAAAACGAAATTTAATTAATTTTAAAAAAGATGTAGAAAGTGAGAAATTTAGTGTAGAAGTAGTCAAGACACTGAGTTTTGACTCATCATTTGAGTTACTGAAGAGTCCTTCGGTCAAATGGTAATGTTTCGGCTATCTAAGTAAAACTACATTTATAAAAAGCATAAAAGACGTATTGGAAATGATTCTTTTGAATAATAGTAAAATTGACGATTATAACATTAAAATTAAATTAACGATTATAACATATATAAAAAAGGAAATAATGTAACTTCCTTGCTCGGTGTTTAAAGTTTTATATTTTATGTCATTTTGTAAGTTTATATTTTATAGATTTCAAATCTATATAAAGTAAATTGTGAACTATGAACCTTGTAAAAGAGTTTACATTAGAATAAAATATTCATATTATGTTGTAATTAACATAAAATGTTTAGAAATTACTAAAAATGTATAGAGTTCCTTAAAATATTCTACAACTAACACCAAAGTAGCATTAAAAAAATACGTTCTAGATTTATTTTATCACTCTGGAAAGTTTTCTTCGACAAAACTATCTAGTGAGGCTTAAAGGATTACATCATTGAGAAAAATGCAATTTTCATTCGCCTTTGCTTACTCGGAAAAGGGAAACTATTGGCAATAAGATTTGATTCCCTTTTTAGTTCAAGTAAAATTGTCTTATTCAATTAAGATACGACATTTATTTTTGCTTGATGGGATTATATTTTATGAAATTGTGTTCATGTTAGATTTTAGTTCATATAATTCTTCTAAGGTCATATAAAATACTCGTATATTATTTACACAAATGTGTGATCTCTCGAACAATTGTTACTTTTAGTCATTGATAAAAAGCTTTGCAACCAATACCATCTTTAAACTACAATTTTCCATGTGAAATCTTTTTAAATTGATAAAAACAAAATAAATATCACATGGTAAGGCATTCTTATAATGCCAAAATTTTCTGAAGTATCTAATCTAAAAAAATAAGTAAAATTGTAACTCATATGAAAAATTAATAAAAAAATGCGATTTGTTAATAAGCAGTATAAAATAAACTTCTTTTCAGACAAGAAAAATTCAGCAACAATAGGTATTAACGAATTTAACAATTGAAAGTACTACTACATTTCATTCTGAGATCATGGACGGATTACCTTATAATTATTATAAAGTGCTTTGTCCTGCAGATGGGAGGAAGATTTAATTAAAGTGTCATCGCTGGCGAGTGTCCAGAGCTATGGACTCGTTGGCAGCAGGCATCGGGACTTAGCGTAGTGTCGTATCACAGTGATTTATGTACGCCTGGTATCATGACAGCGCACTGGCGACTTATTACTATAGTATTTTTTTACTATTTCATAATTCCATTGTTAAATACGCTCCCACACATTATGTATGAGGGACAGATGTATAGTTATTCTATAACTTATGCAACGTTTGCTGTATAATAAAAGATATATATCTACATACATTTGACCAGTCCAAAGTACATACTTACCTTCAATATCTAAGAACTTCATTGGAAAGTGATATGTTTCTTATTGAAACCTTTTCAATCATAATTTTGTTTTATCAATAAAAATACTAAATTAAGAAAATTGGAAGAGTTTCTATAAGTTTTCTGAAAGCTGTTATAAAATAAAACTCTCGGTGAGTTTTGCGAAAAAATTGCTATTAATCATCTGAATTTGCAAGAATAATGTTTCCTGAATTAAAATCTAAATATAAAAAGTATGATTAAAGCTAACGAAAAGCATTTTATTTGAAATAATCCAGTGTTTTTCGGTTATAGTATTGCTTAATTAAAAAGGTGGTATAATAAAATTATAAGTATAAAAATTACAAAAGTGTTTTCCGTAGCTGATATGTACAATTTAATTCTAAATTAAATATTGTAAGCATTTTACGCGAAGTAAAAAAATAATAAAAACATAACAACTAACTAACACATACTTCTTAAAGGATTATCGCTAAATCTACATTGGTTCAGCTATAACTGATTTGTTTTACCTCTAATAGTTTGTTAAAAGATTGTTCTTAATAACATAAGCCTTTGTTTAAATTAATTATTTTATTCAGACGTTTAGGAAGCACTTAAATTTGTCATATTTAAAAAATCCATTTGTATTCGTATAGGATCGGGTGCACACTTAGTAAAGGATGTAATTATCTCTACCATGTAATTTAATATATATATTGAGTACTATGAAGAGAACGTTGTAGCTCTTAGAATAAATTATTGAAAAAAAATTATAATTCACAAAACCGCTTCTGAGTATAACATGATTTTGTTATCTTAAGTTTTATAATGTACAACTTATGAAAGTTCCCGATAGTACAATATTTACGAACACTTTCATATTACAACCAAGGAAAAGTAATTCACGCGAGACTTTGTTAGTAGAAACGTTTATGTGACGATATGTATGTATGCATTATTCATAAGAGATCTGTCATCAATAAGGATAGTTGTTATATTCACAAAACCTTCTGCTTCACTTACGAGAAACTTTCCAAATATATTTAGTTTTGTTTCACTTGTGTTTCTCGGATTTATACTTCATTCCATTTGTGACAGCTGAAATTTGAAATGAAGCGTTGATACCTTTTTGATGACTGGTGAATCGGGAATCCAACGAAAGATTTTCTTTTTAGTTTATAAAACAAATTGAACTTTCTTGTTAACAAGTCAAAATACATATAAACGACGAATTCACCTTTTATTTTTCAAGAATCGTTTATACTTATAATGTGAAACTATTTATTGATTAATTGAAATAACGGGTTTCATGACGGTATTAGGCCTTAAATAGTGAGACCATTACATTGATAGTCAATTACTATCATGTAGTTTTTTATCAAACAAAAATAAATATTATAATTAAAATATTATTACCTTTAAAAATGTAAAATTCATCACAGTGTCATACTTTCAGTCAATTAACGTTTGAGAAATAAATTATCATTAAATCTACAATAAAAGGTTTCCTTTGATAAAAATAAGTGTAACAATTACTACTTTGTACCAGATTATTAATGCCACTTCTCACATAATCACATATACAGAACCCGTCATAAAATTTTGAGAATAAATTTATTATAGTCGATGTAATTTTATTGTTTATTAACTAATTATGTCAAATCAATATTCTCTCCAGATTTTAACTTAATTAATTGCGCTAACCAATTGTTACTAATACATTAACTCGTTTATTCTTCTTAATTAAAAGGTCCAATTAAGGTAGAGTAATTTAATTACAAGTATTGAGAAATACACAGATGTATAAGTTAAATGTATATTTATAACTAGGTCTCGTTTAATTTACTTTTAAATATAAGATATTATTTGAATCCACAATTTATTATACATATTTTAATTGATTGTGGATTGAACTGTAATCAGTTCAGTAAAATATTTATTCATTTCTTTTATACAGTTAAATAGTATATATTGTGTTTCATATAATTATAAAGGATGTATAACACAACAACAAAAATTTTAAAAGCGTGTTATTAATAATTTTTCATAAATGAAGAGATCGCATCTTCTTTAATCCTTCAAGCGAATTTCTTTTAAATTAAGGTGAAATGATGAGTCATGAGAACTGTAGAGTTAGGTATATTGTTTTATACGTATTTTTTAAAAATTATAACAATTGAAAGTAGTACATTTCTTTGGTCATTCAATCTCACTTCATCCATTGAATAATTTCAGCCAAAACTATCTTACTCTTTAGTAATTAAATACCCATTATTATCTCGAATGGTTTATTGCTGAATTAAATTGCTCTTCTTATAAACGGGTTTATATATTTTAAATGTTACAAACTCGTCATAATTTATTATTTTAATATTTCATGTCTTAATTATAAGAAATTATTCCTAATTGCGTTATAATTAAATGTAATACGAAAATATTTGTAAGAAAATTACATCAAATGTACAAAACAATAAGTGAGGAGGGAGAAGCTGAAATAAACAAGAATCCCAAATAATCTATTAATCCCATGTAATTGTTACATTACACGGGTGTTTAACTCAAAGGTTGTTCTCGATTTGTAAATATTTATTAGCATTAAGTACATACATAAAATTAGGAATATCGAGTCAATTAGTTTAAAAGAGATTAGAAAAGAACTACAACCATGTTATCATTTTATTTATTTATAAATAAAATATTTAATTCAATAACAAAACTGTTATATAATCGGAAGGTCATAACGCCATTGTTTCAAAATAAGCACAGTAATCACCCTGTAATTGTCTTAATTTTAAAATAATAATCAGCATTGTAATCATACCAGTCGAGAACTCTTCTGTCGTACCAAACATAAGCACCTTTCAGTGACTGTGGTGCTTCTAGAACAATGTACACTGGAGTTTCAGCTGCCTCGTCCACATTGTAGAATCCCACTCCAGTCGTCATCTCAGTACGGACTAGTCCGGGATGCATTGAGTTGATAGAAATGTTTTTATTGTCGTATTCTTTCTGATGTACCATTGTTACAGCGCTAACAGCCACTTTTGCAACTCTATACGCAGCGACCGACGCTCCGTCCGCTATGTCATCTACGTTGAAAGTACCATTTTTCTTTGATTCTAAAAACCATTCCACGAATTCATTTACATCCGATACACTTAAATCTTGTTTCGAAAGTTTTTCTATCCAGAATTTATTCCTGATATTCGAAAGATGGCCACAGTCACTGGAAATATTTAATATCCGTCCACCGTTTCTTACTATTGGATAAATGAGTTCATGCATTGTTAATATACTTCTATAATTAATATCTATGACTCTCCTCGCTTCATCAAAGCTACAGGGTCCAAACCCTGCATCTATGACAGCAGCGTTATTTATTAGAATATCAATCCCTCCATAATTCGCTTCCAAATAATTCTTAAATGTTTCCACGCTACTTCTTACCGCTACGTCCAGTTGGTGGAATTTGGGGTGTAATCCTATTTCTTCAAGTTTTTTGACAGCTTCCTTTCCTCTTTCCACGTCTCGCGAGGTCAAATAAACCACACCATCGAATCTTTGACACAGTAATTTAACAATTGAAAAACCAATTCCTTTATTGGAACCGGTAACTACAGCAACTCTCGACATGTCTGTTTCATTGAACTATAAACAATATACTAATGTTATATAATTGCAGCAAAAAGAGAGCTTATCATGAATGAACTCGACACTGTCAATAATAATAAATATTATCAACAGTATAGTAGATAATGTTATCTGAACCTGTATAATAATGTCCATTATGCATTAATATGAAAAATAACTGAATATGATATTTATTTATTAGGAAGTCAAGAACAAATTCATATTTTCTAACTTTTATCATAAAAAAGATCTTTTATAGAAAATAAGCTATGCTGAATTTAGAATGAAGCTACATTTCTACACTATCACGTGTTTTTAATACCATGTAGGTCTTAATAATGAAGTTATTTACTATCGTCGAACATAATTTGATCATTTTAACCACATAAATAATCTTATCAATGTAGAACAGTTCTTGAAATGGCAATGTTTTAAAAAAAAGACGCTTGTACTAAAGTATGGTTTTATTTTATGTTAATTTTTATAATATTTCAATACGACAAGAGTCTGAAGAGCAGAGCCTGGAGAATATTTTAATTATATTTTTTTACTAGGGTACATGCAACATACAAAAAATTACATACCATTCAAGTAATCAATCCTATGACAGAACCTGCTGTAAAATAGAAATTCAGATATACATATATGAACTATAATGGGAGTATGTATTATAATTTAAAAATGTTATGTCGATGGTTATGTTTAAAAAAAAGAGTGGATTAATTTTTATTATTTATTAAATTAAATTCTATTTGAATAATAATAAGGTCCTACATTGAACGTATCAAGCAACATGCTGTTCGACTAAAGACATAAGTCGGAAATAATATTCTTCCTCGTAATTTGCCCAATCTATAACCTTTCTGTCATACCATATGTATTCACCCTTTAAGGACTGCGGAGCGTCAAGAACGATATACAAGGGTGTTTCAGCTGCTTCATCGATGTTAAAGAAACCAAGTCCAGTGGTCATGTCCGTACGGATGTACCCCGGATGAACTGAATTTATTGATATATCTTTAGCCTCAAATTCCTTTTGATGTATTCTAGTGACCGCATTTAAAGCAATCTTAGATACTCTGTAACCCGTTATAGTACCGTTGTCAACCCAATCTTCAGGGTTAAAAGAACCATTCTTGAGTGATTCCAAGTACCACTCAATGAATTCTTGTATTTCTTCTAGTTTTAAATCTTTTTTGGACAGTTTTTCTCTCCATTGTTGATTCCTCAAATTGGATAAGTGCCCACAGTTGCTAGAAATATTAAGTATTCGGCCATTCCTCCTCACAAGTGGATATATTAACTCTCGCATCGTTAATATTCCTCCAAAGTTGATGTCGATAAGTTTTTTACTGTCTTCGTATGAAGAACGACCATGTGGATTACTGTCAGTGACTGCTGCATTGTTAATTAATATATCGATACCACCATAATTAGCTTCAATGTAGTTTTTGAACTTTAATACACTGTTCTTATCAGACACATCTAGTTGATAATACTTCGGTTGTAATCCTTGCTTGTTGAGTTCAGCCACGGCGTCTCTGCCTCTTTTTTCATCTCTCGAAGTCAAGTAAACGACCCCTTCAAATCTCTTACATAATCCTTTTACTATTCCTAGACCGAGCCCCTTATTGGATCCGGTAACAACAGCCACTTTCGACATGTTTACTAAGTATGAACGATATGTTATGACTGATTTAAATGTAGCAAAACTTCTTATCTACTAATAAATTAGGGTACCAGATAAAAATCGACTTGATTCACTATCATCGTTGGTTTTTAATAAATAACGTGATAAGAAGAAATTAATAAAAAAAATTGCTCCACGTTATTAATTTCATTTTTAGTAGCATACCTATTTTTGATTTGTAATACAACGGAAAAAGAAAGAAATGTTTTATTATTAATGAATTATTATTTTATTTTCAGAAATATTCTTTAATAAATATTACAAGTTAAGCTCGGACAGTTCAGAACACATTTATATATTAAAATAAATATATTTCAATTAAGAAAAATAAAGCTCCTTCTTAATGAAAAATTTATAAATGATTCATACAGGTATGTAAATATATAAATTCAAAGCCTGTGGTGTTCATTTAATTGTATTGCGGTTGTCCAATTAAACAAAGTGTCCGACGAATCAGCTTCCCTTTTTTTAATCTGAAAAACGCGTTTATTTATTTTACTAACGATATTTCACAATTTGTAATTAAAAACAAAAAGTTTGTGTTGAGGGATTCAGAATAAGTAGTCTTTCAGTTCTTTATTTCCAGTTTTCAGTGTGTTACTACAACTAATGGATTTTTGAGCTGAAAGTAAGTGATTTGAAATAAATATTTGAAGTTATTCGATTGTAGATTCTGTTTTTGAAACGTAATAAAAATATCTTTCATATAGTATATTTAAATATATTTTTCTTCAGTATTTAAATGACTAATCGGAGCTAGAAATATCTTCTATATAAAAAGTAAATGAAGGAAAAAATAATTAAAATAGTAATGCTTTGATAATTTTTTAATTATATGATTATCGTAACAATTTTTAAGATAAAATAATTAATTGATAATATTATATCTATTCAAGAGTTTCAAGGTAAATATAACTTATGTATTTCGTGTGTTATAAACGTGATGAAAATTTAAATCAATGTAACGCAAACAAAATAAAAAGTTAAATGTTTCGATCAAAATTTCATCTGACAGACATCATTCACATCCGCGGCCGGGAAACGAACGTGCGTACAGAATAACACACGAATTACATGTTGTATTAAAATTGTTTTTCTACATATAATGATAATAATATTTATATTCATAAAGCTACAATATTTGTTGTTGAGAGCATTATTTTTGATTCTCGTTACCTTTGTGTATTTTGTATACCTTTCGGACGTTTCCAAAGCAAGGTTCTTTCAAAGACAAAGATAAACTTTTCTAGTAATAGACTCTAGATATATTTCTATTCATTTTTAATAAACTTGATATAAATTTAATCATATATATATATATATATATATATATATATATATATATATATATTATATATAACAAGTCATCAGCAAAATATATCGTCTCAAGTTATAAATAATAAATTACATCATTATATTATTGAAGAGTTTCATCAAAATATGTTAATTTTATTTTACTTGAAAAGTGGAAAAACATACATACGTTCTTAGTCATCACAATGATTCGTATTTATAACAAAAGTAGGATGTATTGAGAAATGATTCATACATAAAGTTCTTAGCGCCAGTTTCATGTTGCACAGCTATCATAATGAGAAGCGTGGAGGATCATAAAGTGGCGAGTGGTGAAGTCGAAGCCATGGATTCAAGAGCTCTGTCTTAAGAAGGGTGAAGTGACTGTTCAGACCCTCGTGAATAATGACTGTAAAAGGCAATTTTTAACACAAATTTTCCTATTAAACACTTAGATCAAATAAATATTATAAAACATATTAAATATTGCTTAAAATCTAATGATTTTTGAACGAATATATCTTAAATTATGTAATGTTAAACGTAAAACATTTGTCATCATTCATTATTAAATAAAATCAGATATAAAGCGACTTAATGAATTGAGATTACAGCTTGCGAAATCCATATCCTACACAGTGTATTATGCGTATACATACATATATAATCATTTATATTTTGAAACTTTTATCTGAATAACAGAATAATTGAATATTAAAAACTTTCTATAATCAGAACAACTGTTTTAGACAACCACAATCTTAAACATATTTCATTAAATAAATCATTTCATTTATATATTTTTCATAAATAAGCTTCTTAAGTTTAATCAACAATGAAATAAGATGGTTTAATTGCTATTTTATTAAACAAATATTTGAAATGCTAGCATCCGCATCTCTTTTACAGAACTAAAAGGAATAGAAACAAGACTACATCGAATTAGCAATTGAAGGCATGTGTAGTTAAGGGAAAAGCAAAACCTCCAGGCATGCAATTAAGCGAGATATGTGTATCTACACACATGTACCGTCTACATTTTGCTGCCGGATGCTAATTGTATTTGATTCCGTATCTAGTATTTATAATTTTATCAATTACTATTTTTTAATTTATCTTTCAATCTATTTATTTTACTTTGAAATATAAAATGATTCTCTTATTGAGTTTAAATATTCTCCGTATTTATAGATATTTCTAGTGAAAATAATAACTGTAATGTGTTAAATTTGATGAGATACTGTTCCATCAAATAAGACTGGCGCCAGCAAGAAATTATTTAAAAACTATCTCCAAAATTATACTTAAATGTGCAAACAAACTCAAAAATTAAAAAATAATGTCAATACATTCATACCAGAACAAATATAAATTCATTCTTGGAACGTACTTCGAAGGCAGCTCTAATAGGTTCGTTTCAAATTGGTTAGAGAGAGAAGCTTGGACCGTGGAGGTGATCATTTAACGCGCGTAAGATATGGGGTCCCTTAAACATACACCAGGGTCACAAGTCCCAGGCACTTCTGCTTGCAACACACCCGAACCGGACCCGGCACCTGCAAAGTGAATCCATGGAATCCTAAGAGGTTCTGTTTCGTCTAATTTCTTTGAAGTCAAGGCTTTAAAGAATCATCATCTAAATTATTGAGAGAACATCTACTTCATGTTTATGAACGGTAGTTTTTGAAAATATTATACTTGCAAAGTACTACTATGTGTAACTGTAACCTTTATCATTATAAAAGGAGAACGGGCTCAATAATATCACCAGGGGTTAGTAGGTGCATGCTTATTGGGTGATACAATTCATTAATCAGGTTGGACCATAAAAACTGATCATGATGGACAGTAGAAATCACATTCTGTAAAAGGAATCATTAACCGTTAAGTTTTGATAAATTGGTTGTCTTGTATTAAATATTCTAGTAGCTTCTATTTCAAAAATGGTTGTCTAATAAAAACAATTACACTCGCTTCGTAAGAAATATTTATACATAAGCAACTAAATGTAAAAAAAAGGTTACCCGTAAATATTTCTGCACAAAAAGATAAATTAATAGCTTTTTATTATAATAAAAATTGTGTTATGTGATATATGTATGTCTGTATTTTATTTCATTTCAAATATATTTTATTAAATTGGAGATTTATACATACATATGTCAGTTTTATCACTTATCTTGTGATGTCACTGCAAATTGAAATGATTATAATTTATCATTCGGATACTAAATAATGTTTTAATCAATTTTATTATAGGAATGTGATTAAAAAAACTATAATATATTTTTGATTCGAAATGAATATTGGATAAGATTATTGCTGAAGCGGTTTTTTTTCTTAAGATGACTTTTCCAAAATCAGTGTAATTATCAAATGATAGCATTATATTGCTTTATATATAACTTTCTAAATTGGCTTTGTTTAAAGCTATATTCTAAAATTACTGTAACGCTGTTGGATTACCAATAAACGAAATTATGAAATAATATTCAAATGAATTTAAGTTTTTCGGATACTACACTTTTTTATTATTCTTACACAACCCCGACGTTCAGTTCCTTTTCAGCAACCTTTTATATCGTCCTCCCGTGATAACGTTATGCAGAAGTCTACCTCTTGGTCTTCGTATTATAGGAAATAGAATTATATACATGAGATAAACTAATGCAGATAGAAGTAACATGAAATAGTAACGTGACTCTTAATAATTTCACGTTCATACAGAACCCTTTAAATAAATGCTGTCTGAGCAGATATGTAAATGTTTTAACTTGTTAGTTCTTTAGACTTGTTGATATAATGTTACTTTTATGAGAGCAAGCAGCATTTATTTAAAAAGTACAATAACGAGTAGAAGAGCTGTCAGTAACACCGATAATGACATTGCCAATAACACTAGGTGGCGCTGACTGCTATTCATTGCGATTCTCTCACATACTGCAACCGCACGAGTGTCGGTGTGCTCAGCGGAGCGAAACTTGGCTGAGAGCCAAGCTGATAGCACGCGACCTGCACCTCGCTTAATACGCCTTTCTTTAGATTACTGGGAATTATCATGGATAGCATAATGACAACTTGATAGAGAAAACATTTACATTTTATAATATGTTTTGCTGGAGATTATGATATTTATTGTTAAATAATTTAGGTTAATCTTTTTCTGACAGAATTTTTTTTAAACTGATTTCTTCTCAATAACGTAAATAATATGTTGTACGTCAATTAAATCACATTAAGACTAAGGCAATTGTTATAAGAACACAATTTAATATCTCTTTCTATAAAGTATATAAAAATATTTAAAAATGTGCACTTGTAAAAATCTTACGTATAATAATAATATTTCATTTTATTTTTTTATTAAAATAAAGTATCTGTATATGTGACTAAGTGAATTGGAATCAGGAAAGAAATAGACTGAAGCCAACATCACTTCAATTATTTATTTACACGAACTATTTTCAGCTATTTACAGGCCTATTTCAACTCGGAATTCAGTAAACCTAATAGCTAATATTTTCGGATTTTACTTCGCGTTTTATTTTAGAAACTACATACTCCCGACGTTTCGGCTACTTTTCAGCAACCGTGATCACGGTTGCTGAAAAGTATTATGTTAGTTTCATTTAAATGTGTACTCGCGAAAATCTTAGATCTCATTATGTAAACCTAATAGC